CAGTACGCCCTCCTTCCTCCCGAACTGAAATACAAAACGAGCTGCTTTCTGTTAAAACGTGACATGTGATCTGACTTTGATAGGCGGGCTTGAGGCCGGTGTGTGAATTCATGACGTTCAACTTCTCCATGCAAGCGATCGACCAGGTTATCAACTCCGCCGCCAAGACCTGCTACATGTCTGCAGGAGCCATCCCCGTCCCCATCGTCTTCCGTGGCCCCAATGGCGCTTCGGCTGGCGTTGCTGCTCAGCACTCGCAGTGCTTCGCTGCCTGGTATGGGCACTGCCCGGGGCTGAAAGTCGTCAGTCCTTGGAGCTCAGAAGATGCTAAAGGGCTGCTGAAGGCGTCGATCCGGGACGACAATCCAGGTGAGCACAGTCAGATCACAGCAGTATTTAGCTCTCATTTCTGAATGTTTCTTTTCCTCCCCTACCTCACGTGAAAAATAAAAAATTATTCAATGCTTAAGCATCGGCATCAGTACACCTTAACTGCTTTCCCCTTACGGTCACTTGGCTAGCTAGCAGCAGATTAATTCTGTGCTGTTCTAACCTGCTTCCATGAACCCATCTAGAAGCTTTAAAAGATGCATTTATGCACCCACCGTGAAGGCATTATAAAAGATGAAGATGAGTCAGGAGAAGTTCCTGCAGATACAGCACATTTTTTAGAGATGATGAAGCTTAGATAATAAATTCAGAATCTCATTAACCAAAAACAGGACAACCTTCATCTTTCTTTGTCACAGGCACCCATGCAAAATGTAAAACTTTTCTGAAGCTAGCAGTTCTACAGAAACATTTCTTAGCCATGACTTTTCCAGTTTTCTCTTGACCTACTTTTAGAGATGAGTATATAGACTCAAATTTTACAGAGGCTTTCTAAGTCAGCACAGACTTCTCAACTCCTGTTTTCTGCCAGACTTTCTTTGTTTTGATTTGGTTGGGGTTTTTATTTTTTTAAAGGAAAAATCATATGAAGGGCTTTAAATCTTGTGTAAAATTATATTGCTGTGATACACCTGGTCACGCTTAAGACAAATTTGAGACAGTATTTAAAATAACTGAGTAGTGAAGTTGACTTTTAATTTTTTGTATTGCTTTTGCAAATATTCTGCTGCAATACTGTTAATCAGAGGTACAGCCTGTTCTTGCAGAAGTACAAATTAATCCAAGTATGTTTTGTTCTAGTTGTGATGCTGGAAAATGAATTGCTGTATGGTGTTCCCTTTGAGATGTCTGAACAGGCACAGTCAAAGGACTTTGTTGTTCCAATTGGAAAGGCCAAAATAGAAAGGGAAGGTAAGCTGAGAACATGGTGTATATATCTGTATGCATCCTTACAAACTGAGCTGCCTGGGGAATCTTAGCTATTCAAAATACTGCTGTCATGGGACACAGAAGCATATTTAAAATGTTAAATAATATTTATCTTGTATTGCACTCAATTGTTTTGTTCCCCGCATCTCATTTAAAACTGTAACTTTCTAAAAGATTTTGTTTCTTGATCTAGGGGTGGTGTAGGTGATGTGCAGGAAAGTTCTCCTCACCTTAGTATGTAATTTTTGTTAAAAATGCAGAAGAGATCATTGTAATTTTTCAGCCTGTTTGTAATTTACCACAGAATAACATGAATACGTAAAAAGGATAATCCAAAAAGTACTAAAAACATTATTTAGATCCCTGAATTAAAAGGTTTTTTGTCTTCACATAGTCCTGCTGCCAACTCTTCATAGGTGTAGAATACTTAACATTTCAAATAAATGTATGGAACTTAAATTTGCAAGATGATACTAATGCTACCTACAAAAGAGCCCAAGAAAAATGCTTATTTATGTTTATTTTTTCTTCTGGATTTGTTTCTTTTTAACACTTGTTTCTGTTCCAGGAACTCATGTTACATTAGTGGCACACTCTAGGCCTGTTGGGCACTGTTTAGAAGCAGCTTCTATCCTGGCCAAAGAAGGTGTTGAGTGTGAGGTGTGTGGTGTTTCTGTTGCTTTTCTCTCTCCCTGTACTAGGAAGAAGGCAGAGGGTCACCTTGTTCAGGCTCTGTAGAACATCAGTTTAAAAACTACAAGCTTTTATAAGTGCCTTAACTGTCAGTGTACATGCATTTCTTGCTTCTGTGTTTGACCTTTTCATCACAAAATCAAATCAGAACTACTGAAGATTTTCAGATTGATCTACTTGTACAATGAGCAAAACAATGACAGTATGTAGCAGCATGATTATATATAGCAAGACTCATCAAGCATTTTCCAGGAGCCACCAAAAGCCGTTCTGCAGGATCTGTCAGGATAAGAAGTAATTTCATTAACGTTAAGTCTTCCAGTCAAAGTCAGAATAGATCGTAGTGCTAAAGGACACTGTGCCCAAACAGCAGTAAATGTCAGGATTAGATCTCAGCAAAACTCACTCAGTGCCTTTTTTTTAAGGTTATAAATCTGCGTACCATTAGACCAATGGATATTGAAACAGTGGAAGCCAGTGTTGCAAAGACAAATCATCTTGTAACTGTGGAAGGAGGTTGGCCGCAGTTTGGAGTAGGAGCTGAAATCTGCGCCAGGATCATGGAAGGTACTGACTTCTGCACTCTGCATGTTGATCTAAATCCTTGTGACTTCTTGATAAAGCCAGATGACAACAAATGTCAAGTCCTGTATCTGAGGAGCTTAATAGCTGTCTGGTTCTAGACATGTTCAAATGGTCAGTCCAGATGATCTTGTGGTGTAATTCTTATTCCAGGAACTGAAGCAAGATGGTAACCATTTGAGAAGCAAGATGGTAACTTTTTGTTTATCATTGTGCACTATAGTTTAGACAAGCAGGAACAGCTGTCTCTGGTACTACAGGAACAAAGTTGTTGTAAGCATATTAAGATTCAGAAACTGATTTGAGAGAAAACTAGATTGTGCAACAACCTGACCACCATTTTTTGTTTCAGGATCTGCCTTCAACTACTTGGATGCTCCAGCTGTGCGTGTTACAGGTGCAGATGTTCCTATGCCTTATGCAAAAATTTTAGAAGATAACTGCATACCTCAAGTGAAGGATATAATATTTGCAGTGAAGAAAACTTTGAATATCTGAGTTGTAAATATGGTTTTAAAGTCCTGCTTTAAAAAGTATTAATGGTATAGGGCAACTTGTATGCATAACTTTGTTGTATAGCTACATAAACTTTTGTACAGTAAAGTACAGCGATCTCCCAGAATATTTATACGGCTGCAATGGGGTCTAGTGGAGTTTCCCTCTAAGCCATTTCATTTAAGTAACCATGTGGTAATGCTTGTCTGTAAGTTAGCTTGTACTTCAGCTGGGTTAGGATCTCTCTGTCTGTTCTAAATTCAGAGGGAAGAAGAGGTCTTCCATTTCTGCTTGTCCTGTAATGATCAGACTAGCTGTGTTAAACTGACAGTGATGGTGGTTGAGTGCAGAATGATAGTGAGTAATGAGGGCCACCCTGAGTCTACTACTAGGATGCTGCACAGCTCTCCAGGAGCCTGTGTTTGCAAGGCTTACTAAAGGCACATGATAAAACCAAACTTGAGTGAAGCCTTGCTTTTTAATTCAACAGCTTAACAACTACCTGTATAAAATGGCTTTGTAGTATGGGTTAAGAGGTGGCTCATGTGCTTTCTTCAAAGAGTGCTCTGGTCATACAGGAAAGCTGCCCAAGAGCTTGATTAAAGATCCTGATCCTCTTCAGTGTGTGATGGAAAATAATACCTATTTATTCTTTATTAACTGTCACGTGCATTTTGTATGCCAGCTATCATGTACAGTGATAAAAAAACTTGCTCAGATGTTTTGTTTTTATGTATGGTTTTGTGCCTTTTTTGTTTATTTGCTTGTTTTTTAAACTTGCCTTGGGGGGCTTAACAACAGTATGCACAAACTATAGTTCTTACAGGCAAAAAAGAAAAAAAGTTACTTTATTCAGACCTGGATAAGGTAATAAACTATTCAAAAGCAGTTGTTTGGGTATGTCTGAAGAGCTGGGCAACAACTGCACCAGCCTTTACTGCAACCACGTACCTAGGTTTAGCTAAGGAGCTTTTCCTGACAGAGAATTTGTTCTTTGTTCAGCAACTTTTGTTATTGTCCTGATAGGGACAGTCTGCCTAGAGCAGTCAGTGCAGCACAGCTTGATCTACAACCAGAGAAAAGGTGCCTTTCCAATGAACCGTTCTGAAGCAGATACTTACCTCTCTTAAGCAGACACAAGGGCTCAGGTCCTACTTCAATTACAGGTCAGGAATACCTTTCAGGGCATTTCCTAGTAGAAGTGCTTCTCGATTCATAGAAGTCAGGCTTGCAGGCAAGATCCTAGCTGAATACATCCACCACCACACTGCTGGAGGAACTCCATTAACATTTTAATAAAAATGACTGAATATCACAGGTTACATGAAACTGTACAGACATTCTCTGCATAGTAACAAACACGGATGTACTTGAATTTAAAAAAATGGATTATCTATAATCCTTTAAAGTGCAATTTGTTTAAGGTTTTAATCAAATCAAAAAATGATCTTTCAATAAAGTATAAGCTGTAAAATTAACTTGAAGTAAGTTTGCATTTAACTAAATCATGAATAATATCCCAGTGCCCTATTAACTCCCATTTCAACTATTTCCTTATTTAAAAAACACTTTCCCTTAGAGTTGTAGGTAGGATGTCCATTTAAACAAGTCTGAGACACTATTTTAAGTCCATCAGCAAAAATGGTGGGAATAAGATTTAATTCTCCAGTTCCCTCACCTGTGCAGTATGTTTGATAGGTTGTTTTGTTGGTTGCTTTTGGGGGTTGGCTGGGTTCTTTTTGGATTATCTCAAAATATGCTGATTCAGTGCAGTAAAGTTAAATGATTTACTGCTGGATGACTAGTGTTGAAAAAGGGCAGGTTAGAAGTAGATTCTTGTAATCTGGCAAAAAAAAAAAAAAGTGAGAAGAATAGAACTAAAAAAATGCATTAATTCACCTTGATCATGGTCATTCCTATTCTCAGTTTTATTCAGCCATATAGAAGTTGCTGTACCCGAAACTGCAGCTAGAAAACAAAATTCTTGAAACCAAATAAAGAATGGAGTACTTAGCATGGCAATGCAATCCAGATGGGGTAGTGCTGCTACTTGTGTAAAGCTGAAATAGAGGTAAAAGGAAGCTACTGCATGGCTAGCTGCTATATGCGCTGGTGAATCAGCTGCTGATCAGAAGGGTCTTGTTGCTGGACAGCACAGGAGCGGGAGGGGGAATTCAATCCTGGTGTAACCAGTAGCCTCAGCTGATCCTGGGAGCACTGTAGTCACACGTGTGTGTTTTCTTCAGAGTTCCTTTCTGAAAGTTTTGAATGGAGCTGAGTAAGGCTCCTCGGCTTGCACTGACAGCAGGCTGTGAGCTTGGCTGTGTTGGCACCTCTGTATTTGGAGGAGGAGCTGCTGGTGGCAGGGGTGGTGGTGGTGGTGCTGGGGGTATCGACGATGCTCCTGTTGATTGAGGAGAGAAGATGATGTTTGATTATGCCAAATAGGTCCTGCTGCAGAGCACTGCAGCCACGCAGCTGGACCGTGTCACTGCTGCACTAGGAACTTCACTTCTTGAAAGCAAGTGGAATGTGAAGAACAGAACAGAATGAAAAAAATGCTGATGTGATCAAATCTCTCTATCTGCAGGTGAGTCATGTCACCTGAGACACCTCTGAGAAGAAGCCTAAAAGTCATCAGTTCTCAGGGATGCAAGATGTGACTCAAATGTGATACTGACTGGGAAGCAAATCTTACCCTCTGTTCATATTTACATGATGAACATTACAGGTTTTACAAAGGACCACTCTGCTGTAGCATTTGTGGTGATTGATCAGATTATACATTAGTTTTAGATGACTAACTGCAGGTAGAGTTTTTCTGGAAATGTTTTACATGTCCACAGTACTGTCAGACTTTCTTCAACCATGGAGAAACAAAGAAATGCTTGTTTCACAGGCTGAAGGAATCAATCCACCACTCACACCACTTGCTTTCTTTCTGTGCTCTCACTTTGCACTCTGGCCATCGCTTTTTACCCTAGTCATGTTGTCTCATCATGCTTTAAGCTCCATGCCCTGACAACTTGCAGAGAGAGGGCTGGAAAGCCAGAAACCAGCTGTACATGCAGGCAGCTAACCCAGCACTGAGGTTCTGGAAGCTCAGATCCAGGCAGGTGGCCCTATTTGACCCAAGCTACACTTCCACGCAATGTGCTCCAGTGCTTCTCAGCTGCTGCATGTTACATCATCATTTCTACACTCAGGATCAAAGATACATGGCAGGAGTAAGAGCAAAGGCCAGAGGTGACCCCATGCTGTTCCACAAGACATCCACATGAAGGTGCATTTGCAGCATACCCTCAGTTGTATGTGAATGATGGCCCTGTCTTCCCCTTCATATTCTGAAAACAGGGGGCTTAGCAGTTAAGATTTCATTGTGAATTTTAATTCCATTGTCTAGACCATGAGTTAATGTCAAGTATGGCTAGGGAGAGAAATGGCATCTATAGTCCAATACTTGTTTGGTAGCTCTAACCTACACGAGGAACACACAGTAAGTGGCAAGGACTATGATGCTTTTGGACAAAAGAGCAAAACAACACAGGGCCAGCCAACACACTGTGACAAATGAGGTAGAACTGCTTGCTAGGAATTAAGCAAATACTAAGCAGTTAAAGGAAACTATGTGACATGGATTCAAGAAGTGTTAAAATTCTAATTGACATGAAAACCTTTTTCTGTGATAAGAAAACACAGAAACACACATTGGGCTCCTGTCTGCACTCTCATCCCTTTCAGAAGTAATGTTCAAGTCCTAGTAGAGTAATGTTCAAGCTCTAGTAGAAATGTCAGAGATCAAATGAAAAAACACGTCTGGGGCACGTGGATCAGCTACTCTCTTAAGTAATCAAAACATTACACAATGTTAGTACAAACTGAAATAACACATCACATATCGATGCCTTGGGGTCATCTAACTTACCAAACCCATGTTTTTGCACTAGTCAAAGATGTGAGTCTGTAATTACAAATACTGAAAACCATTCCCTAAGTTAGAGTCCTGTTTCTGCTGTGTGTATGGACTGCCAGTAAAGCACAGCAAAGCAAAACAGACACTTTGCCACAGAAGAACAAAACCAAGAAGAGTTAACCACTTTGATGAGTTAAGAGGTCAGGGCAGGGCTGGCGTAGCAACGCTCGCATCGGATTTGGGATCAGATGAACTGCTGTAAAAGAGCCAAGGCCAGCTCATCAAAACTGAGATGGCTTGAAAGAGATGCAAGAATTTCAGAGAACAAAGACAAGATTTTGGTTGGAACAACAAGGTGAAACTGAAGAAGTTATGCACACAGTTGTACAAGATACAATAAGGAGAGACCACGAAGACAGTGGCCAGGACTCCATATGGAATACAAATATAACAAAATTTGGCAAAAGAAGGTACATATTTGACAGAAACGGAGGCAAAAATGCCACTACCTAAGTGCTTGGATTGCTATTATTAGGCCAAGAATCCATGTGTTGTCTTCAAATTTTGGTCTGCTCATTTTATGATGGGAGCATTAAGGACAGGGAGGTAGGGGGAGAGGCTGCCTTTCTGCCTGGAAATTTGTTAAGTTCCTCAGTACCAAGTATTTCTAAATTGTGATGCCAACATCATACAGTTGAAAGAAACTCTTAGGAGATCTTACACTTGATCTCTGCCTTAAAATACAAATACAGGATTTAAGATGGTATCTGACTAGTTATGAGCATTACATATTGAACACGTTAAGTAAGAGCACGACTCTGAAAATCAAATCCATTCATTTCCATCAACCTATCAGTCAACCAAAACTAAGCTACCTCTTCTTCTTGACATGAGTGGTGCAAAGGAAATCTTAGTTTACTCCAGTGGACTCATATGCAGCTACATCTGCAGGTTAAACTGATCAACCCAACAGTGAAATATTTTCCCATATTTACCCAGAAAATACTTCAGGCAAGTGCTCAATTATCACACAACTTTTCCAATACATATGTTGGAAGCAGCTGACTGCAAACACATTTACTCATTCACACAGTTATAAGAATAAAACACTCAAACAAGAACTTACCAAAGGTTTTTTTTTTTTACAGGGACATTTTTGTTAAGGGAGTGTGTTAAAAGGAATAGGAAGTAAATCAGATGCTGTAAACTTGATGCCTGAATTGAAACAAAAACTTAATTATGAATTTAAAGTGACAGTAATTGTGCAAATAGCATTAAAAACTTTGCTGAGAATGGGATGCAAACAAAGAAAATCATTTTAGTGATAGAGTTTTTAAAGATGCTGTATTTCATTAAAATAATCCATAAGAATGCTCAGATCTTTTCCTTCTATTCCCTCCCAATACTAAGCAAGTTTAAGATTTGCATTAAACTTTCCCATACAGAAACAGAGCATCTTTAAAGAGATAAATCAGCATTAGCTTACTTTTCCGAAAATTCACGTTCAAAATGATGCATGCTCTATTGAAGACAGCAGAGAAAGAGAGAGGACAAGTTAATCATCCGGATCTCGTGTCAAAGTAAGAAAAACAGAGAGTGTTAGCTGAAAAGTTAGTGCCAAAAAAACCCAATACATTCTTATTCACTGAAAAATACATGGGAATAGCAGTTGATTTTTTTTTCCTGTTACATATACAATGCTTGGATTGTGAATAATGAACTCAACTTTCCACACTGTAAGCATTATTATACTCAGCCAACAAATAAAACATTCATATTTTCAATTACACATGCTGTAACTCAGGCTTCACAGGATTACAGTGCATTGAGAGATAGTTAGCAAGAAATCTGCAGGAAGATTAGCCACAGAAGATGAAATCCATTCAGTTCATGGCACGTTTCCTGTCATGTTAACACCTGCATTTACACTTACACTCATGGATCAATCAGAAACAATCAAGGACAGCACTTGCTAAAGCATTGTGCGTTGTCTTACAGACAGGTGAAGAGCTCAAAAGATGCTCCACATGGCTCTCTATGAAACACGTTGTAGTGAAGTATTCAGAACAACTGGCACAGTAAAGTTAAGTACAATTCCTTCAGCTTATTCTCTCTGGGAAGTGTAGGACAGCAATACTATTCAGAAAGGAGCTGGCACCCTCCGAACTTCTCTAATAGGAGAGCTCACTGGTATATTATGGGCTTACTGGATTTAGAGATGTAGTGAAGTTTTAAATAACCCACACCATGGTGTTCTGCATCCCTTCTGATCCTCGCCACAAAGGAAAACGACAGATTCTCAATGAAGCAAAGTGGATAAAAGTGTGAAAGAAGATGGGGAAAAATAAAAAAATAAAAAATATTCAGAAGAGAATGTCAGAAAGACAGAAGTTGTGTTAGAGTCATTTGTCATGATTTAAGCAATGTATTTCAAAGATGGTATTCAGCCAAGTATCTGCAACACAGCTGGTCACTAACAAGCACTCCTGTCAATAAGAAACACCCAAAAGAGTCTGTGTTTCTTCCCCAGGGCATGACAACCTGAAGCCTGTTTACCTCTGGTGAATCTCTAGTTCTGCACCTGCCCACACACTACATTGACTGAGATGGAATAGGCCAAGAGCTTTTGTAGGATATCCTTTTCCATATCAGCCTTCATTTTGGCATGGCATCATATCAGCAAGACTCTCTGACTTGCTATGATACAAACCAGGACAGACTGAAAGCCTCATTCCTGCTTTGAAGGTCATCTCACCATGATGACCACAAGCAATTTTGGTCTAGAGGTAAATATCCTTAATGAACACAATGATACAGGACAAAACATAAGCCACAGCTGCATCAGCTGTCACAAATAATGTCTTAACCATGGGACCAGTGAGTCTTTCACCAAGTCATCAACAGCACACTTGTATAGAATCATCACTGATGATGTCACTTGCTTTCTCTTAGAGCTAATATCTGAAGTTTTGTCTATTAATTCTACTTATAAAAGCATTCCTGAAATGGTGACACTTGCCTTTATGCAAGGCAAAAAAGCACCAATACCATCAACCCATTAAAGCACTTCCTGATGTGGCTGCACATAGGGCAATGTGCATCACATCACACACAGGGCAGATTGCTATGCCTCCACAAGCACACTGCCTGCAGGATGACTGACACACTGTGACTGTGTGGTTTGAACTCGCAGCCAAGTTTCTGAGCCAAAACTTCAGCCATTTTAAGCCAGTTGAGCCAAGTTTATGAATTAACCTGAGCCTGAGCTTTCAGTCTAGTTCCAATACACATTAAAGTTGAAACGCCAGTTATAAGCTGTTCTATTCCAGAAAGAAAAAAAAAAAAGTTTTCTAAATATCTATCTACTTTGAAGGCATGGGGATTTTCCTTTGCATTGTTCAGCTACTTTCTTTTTAAAATGTACAGAATCTGAAAGATAAGCCATCTCACTAGGAGTCAGTGCCCCCAGAAAACAGAGCTGTTATTGTGCAACACAATCACAGTAATTATCTTGTTTAGAGTAACTGGAAGAAGTCAGTTCATAAAACACGTACTTCAATGTACTCCCTGCTTGAAGGAGAAACGACTAATTTAAATTTCAGCATAAAAGATTTAAATTACATCACGTAGACTGTAGCATCTTACAAATGACCATCCACAACAAACACAAATTTGATTTCATCACTTTGGTATAGAAAGATCCTGCAAGTAGGAATCACATGACACAAGTCACCATAAATGCCACAGACAGCCTCCTCTCTAGGTGTATATTCCATTAAGATCTTTTGCTGTTAATGTTTGCTAGTGCACTTCTTCTAGCCATGCAGACTGGAGCGTGTCCACCATAGCTCAATACTCATATTTGCAATCCAACTTTCATAAGTATTTCTGCTTCTGGCAATGCCCACTCAAGCAGATTTCTCTACCACATCCCACCACTTGTCCTAAACATTAGCAAAACTGTTTGCATAGCTACCCAGCAAGTTGGAAGTGGGATCTGGTCAAAATGAGAGATTACTTTTTAACACAAACCAGTTTCTGACTTGTTTCTCTGCATAAGCAGCTCTACTCATGTCACCAACAGGCTATAGCTAAATAGGGGAGATTTACGTGGCCTAAGCCACTCAATTTGTCATACCCCAAAACTTCCAAAATCATGTCACAGCAATAGAAGTGTAAATAGACAATAAACAGAGCCAAGGGACTGACAAACATTATTTCATGGCCCACAGGCCATTAACATTAGAACAAACGTATACTGCAACGTGAAGCTCAGAAAATGTCTGGAAAACAGCAGTCTCAGTAGGACTGGAGTAAAATCAAAGACTGAAGTAAACACTTAAACTCTACAGGTAAATCATACCGGGCACTTCACAGAAAAAGTAGCATTAAAAAAGGAATTGAATTAAGAGGTTCTCTGTAGCCATCAAAAGAGGGCAAATGTCCACACTCAACCTTGTTAAAAGACAAACGTAATCTCTGTGTTCCATCATTTAAGACCATCATCCCTTAATCATCTTTGGGAACAATACAGTTCCTGTGGTTAAACACAGAGGGTAAAACAAAAAGGACACTACAAACATTATAATGACTCTTGAGCTTACCTGCTGTAGAGGGCGGAGTGGGGGATGATGGAGATGTTAATGGGGAACTCGCCCCAGAGCCTGCTAAATAAAACAACAGTCTAGTAACTAAAGCTGTGATGCAAAATTCCACACAATCAGACAAGACAGATTGTTGAAAACAGGCCAACTTTATTGACTGAAGACCCAATCCTGCTCCCAACGAAAACTTGGGAAAGATTCCCATTCGTACAAACAGTGTCACTCACACCTGATCCAAACAGAAAAGCTTTACAGTACATATTATCAGAGGAGGTCCAGCACAGTCAACAGTACTCCTCAATGGGAAACACTTCTTTTCTGTTGCTTAGGCTGTTGGATTTCAGCGTCCAAATTCTGTTTTCCTTACGAGTTGTGCCACTGCATGGATGGCACCTCATTCCTCCTTCTAAGAGATCATTTTTAGTCAGTTCCTATACCCACAAGTTACTCTGACACCTAACTGTTCCACAGTAGGCTGATTTTGGACACATTTTAGCCACACACGAACACTACATTGAATTGTTCAGTAGTACAGGCCATTCCTTTTAACTACATGAAGACCTGTCAAATACTCTGTTGTTTTAGAAACAATGAAGAAGCAATTCAAAAGATAATTCATTTGTCTTAATGCCTTACTAAAAAATACAGATCACCACAGAGTTTCTCTCTGAGGTCTTCATTAGCAAATGATCCAAATAATCAATGCTATTGTTACTCCTGTCAAATGTCACATGGATTGAATAGAATGTTTTTTTGTTATTTTTTTAATCTTTTCCCCTCCCCCCTCCTTTTGAGGAATAGAACACAGAAGAGAGGACACATTACTTCGAATCAGCTGCAAATTTAGCTCTAGTGGTACCTCTAAGTCCTCAATTTATCTATCACTGAACACCAGAAACAGTACTATAAGCATTTGGTAGTTCAATACTATGGTGCAAACTGATGGTGACCCTGGACCTTTTAAGCCACAAAATTATAGTAACAATGAAAATACTGACACATCTGTGTAGAAGCAAGCTCTTCTCTCTGTAGTTACCTGAGTTATTTGAGTTGCTGTATTTTGCTGAGTGTTCTTCCGCACTTTCATAGGCAGAGCGTTTTGACTTCTTTAAACAAAGAAGAAGAAAAGAAGGTGGGAATGAATAACCCCTTTCGTGATGAAAATCAAGTTGACTCAGAGAATTTTTAACAACCATTTGATATATCACACAAGGTTTATCAATGCCCAGCATGTCTCTTCCCCAACCAACACATGCTGCTGCTAGGACAGCAGCAAGGCAGCACTGTGCTCAAACGTATCCAGGCAAACAGGGCAACTTCAGTATGCTCTGACTGCAAGGGAAATGTAGAAAACTGATGGGAAAAAAAAAAAAAAAGGATGAGAAACAGATAGAGTGCTGCAGAAAACTGGAAAAAAAACCCAGCTCTAATAGCTTCATTGAGTAGCAGGTGTTAGTTAAGCCCATTTTCATTAGGTAACCTCAAATAAGTTAAACAGTCAGCAGTCATTTAATAAGTGGTATCACTTAGAACATCACGGGACTGAATACAGCAGCACAGCTATAGATGTTCATGCTACACACTGAATAATTTTCTGTGTGAGAAATCTATTTAAAGATTGTTTACCTTTCTTGCTAAGATCTTCCTTTTCTTTTTTTCTTCTTCAGAGCCATGATGAGACTGAGCTCTTGTCAGTCTTCTGTGCTGGTGAATCTTCAAAATTAAGGGGAAAAAAAAGGAAAAAGAGAAAGAACAAAGCCCTGTTAAAATCCCAAGTGTTCTCAAACAAGCATATGTTTGGGGTACAAGAAAAAAAACCTGTAGTCACTTTGCATGTATAATTTTCTTTTTTCATTTTTAACTCTCATCTTTATGGTTGCTGATAGAGTACAGAGCCTCACAGAACAATTAAGATAATCCTTTAATTTAAGAGTCCCTGTGAAGCTGCACCGCTCAAAAGAGTGTAATTCCATGCCTTCAACAGCTGTTCTACAGCTGCTCAATACCATATTTTTGAGAAAGCACATCTGTTGATAAAAACCTTTGTTACTCTGAAGTAAGAGCTCACTTTCCACATTTAGAAGAGATAAGAGGAAACTGAATGTCTCTAGGAAAGACAGCAAAGAAATGCAGAAGTTACCGATTTCTGTTCTTCTGTTAATCTTTTTTCTATGCATTCCTTGGACGTTTTCAGTGCTTCTTTTAGCTTTGTAGGAATCTAATAAAGAATGGAGGAAAAAAAGTCAAATAACAGAATGTGATAAAGGAAAAAACAACGTCACTGTTCAAAACTCACCATTCATCTGACTATGCTGCACATTTAAAGATCCAACTTCTAACATTATTCCCTTAGTGGAGGAGAAAAAGGACTCTAGATGCAAGTTTTCCACTCCAAACCTAGCAACCAATCCAACAGCTTAGACAAAGAAGCAGTGAGTAATGGCAGGGATGCTCTACCACCAAGGACAGCTAACTACCTTCAGTATTCTGTTCACATCCCCAAAGTGCCCTAAGTCTGACAATCGCAAGACACTGAACACATTTCTACTTGAAATGCCCTGGGGCAGCTCCTCCCAGTGGAAGCAGGATGTGGCTCCCTAGAAGTCCCAGCTCTGAAGCAGGTTACTGTGCCAATGGTCTCACCAAGCAAAATCAGCTCCCACTTGCCTTAGTGATTCGCTTCTTCTCACTGCAAGGTAGGCAGCTTACCTGTGTTCCTAAAGTAGAGCACCATGATTGGTCATGCAAGATAGCTCCAGCAACTACACCTGAATCACTCATGGGTCACACCATGCCCCAACTCTAAGGGTTGACATATAATGCTCTTGAGTATTATTCAGCAAAGGAATGGAAATACTGATGTGAATCACTGAAAAGTCAAGTAAAGCCAGCTGTCCTCTACTGTTTATCAATTAATGCGTAACCACCCACAACCTGATGCCTCCACAAACATCAGCAAATCAACATTCAACTCTACCTTAAACTGTGGTTTCTCAGAGTTTGTTAGCAGGACGTCACTGAATAATCTGCAAGTGGATGGAAAAAAAGGAAAAAAGAAGGAACATTATGAGACAGGCAGAAGCACAGAGAGAACACTGTTGATACTGTTCACCTCTCTCCTCTTTATCTTCTCTGTTCTCATCCCCCACCTCACTGTCTGTTTTTATGCACTGCTTTTTATTTTCCAAGCCCTGCTTTAAAGTTAGTAGCACTTACCCTCAGAACGTAGCCACTACTGACAGCAGAGCCAGCAAGACTCGAGGCAGTATTTTGAAAACTGAAAGAATGCCTGTAGTTATCAAAGGCTGAGAAGGACATCCCCCAAACAAGTGCCTTTTCCTTAAAGCTGCACGTATTCTTTAATGACCAAAGATTGCCAGGGACTATGCAGCTATGCTAACAGTTTTACTCTCCCTTCTATGGCATCAGCAAGAGCTTAAGTGATTAATAGTTTTCCATCCAAAACAAAGACACTAGAGGGCAATGTTAGTTTGAAAATAAATTAGTCCATATCCAGGTACTTTGTTCTGGAGAATGTGCTAGAAAACTGTCCTAGAAAAAGATCATGAGTCCAGCTCCAAGTTAAGTAAGTCATAGATTCCTGTTGCTGTTCATGACAGAAAATTATCACAGGCCCATACTAGACAGAACAAATTCAAACCTAGAATCAAGTTTATAAAATCAGTAATCCAAGAATATATATCAATCAAATAAATAAAATTAAAGTAACAGAAAAAAAAAAGGCTCACCTTTATTCATAGAGCAATTTTCTGACCCTTTCTGATTACATATTCTTGCAAAGTCAAGTAAACTCATATTTTATATAGAACAGCTTAATAAGTATTTAAATTGTATTCCTTGCATTGCACAACATGATGAGCATTTCTGTGGAGAGTATGGGTATGAAGGAAGTGTCATACAATATCCTACATATCAGATACAGCTGGGCATGGACTGTTTGTTCAACATCCTTTAACACCTATCTATTCCTGTATTCAGCTTTCTGACAGAATTTCTCAACTCCTTACTCCTTCAAGAATAGAGGAAGGATGGAGTAGAAGGAATAGGAAGGAGATTGAGACACAACTGCAGCCATTCATCCCAAGCAGGGAACAACTCTTGATGCTTGCTCTGAAGACACTGCAATTTGTACATTGCAAGATCAGACCCAGATTTAAGTATGGGTAATCTTGTCATTTATGAGGTCATGATTCTAGCAGCTCATAGTAAGAAAAAGCAAGCCCATCAGAAACTGTGATTCTATTCTCAGCTTGCTGATGACATGTCACAGCATGGTGACAGTCAGCAACTTCTCAGGTAATACTGTCTCTTAGTTGCAGGAAAGGTGGCACTGCAGACAGTATGATTTCCAGCTTAGCCATGCACAGACGTTGCTTTCTTTCTACATCCTAATATTTCTCCTTTCCTGCCTTTACTACTTTGCTGTGTCACTAGGAGGACAGTATGTAAGAAGTTTTCTTCTATCTGTGCTTCAGTAAGCCAGCCTTGGAAGAAACCTGACAGAACTTCTGCAGAACACTCTGACTCAGTCTAAAAGTTGCCACTGAGCAGAGCAAGAATCTATTTTGCCATATGTCATAAGTAAATGGACAGCCAAACCTAATGAACTAGGTCTGGAAGGGACATACAAAAAGATTCCTTATTCCAAATGATTTAAATGATCCAATACATAATCTTAACCATGCCTGCATTGCTTTAAAAGCCAGATAATTGAAACCACAGCACCACCCTCCAGCACACTGAGAGACAGAGAAATCCTAAGTGAGTACCTATCATATTCATAAGTGATGGCTTCTATGAAATCTGTCAATTTTAAATCATCACTTGGGATACACTACACATCCCTCAGAATGAGGAACACATCTTTCAGATAAAGAACAAGCAAAAAGATTCTCCCTCGTCATACAATTATTATGAGCATAAAACAAGTACATTAAAACTTACGGCATCTGTAAGAGCCGTGAAACAGTTGGCATGCCATTCTTCATAGCTTCACAAGTCAGAATGGATTCCAACACAGACACTATCAAAGAAAGAATAAGAATGGACACATTTTTGCGCTGCAGGACAGCAAACAATTTAGAATGAAAGTCTGACACTTTGTATTATGTTCCTCTAAGTATTCCATCAACTAAGTGGTGATGAAGCTTTATGACATGTGGTTTTTATTATAATGTTATTGTTACATGTAAAAACTTCTCAAGAATGTTAGACATGAGGCCAGGGGATCCAGACATCTAATTACTACACACTGTTTTATCATTCAGTTAAAAATATGTCTATATTTATATGCTACATATTTGAGGAAGAACATTTTCTATTTTTAAAAATTACTAAATAACGATTTCCAGGCACAGGAAGGTTTTAGGTTGCTATTTCAGAGCACTTCTGCTGAAGCACAAGGTAAGAGTTGCCAGGAAGCTGAGGCTGCCACCGTCTTGATCGTATACTAACCAACAGACATTGATGGTGCAGGAGGGAAGCTGTCTACTGGAATTGTATCTGGGGGTCTTCCATATGTCATTTCATACAGTAAGTGCCCAAAGCAATGTACATCAATGCCTTCTAAAGTCTGTAGAGGAAGAAAAGCGAATAAAGTAAAAACACAACTTGCTAGAACTGTTCAGTTTATCCACAACTTCTTTTAAAACATGTAATAAGATATTAGCAAAAAGAGTGGTTTTGCATTTGAATGTTGAAAAGAGGAACCATTAAGTTTCCAACCACAGCCTACACAATTTGAAACTCAAATGAAATCTTCACACCCCAAGCAAAGAAGTTACTGCTGTATTTCAGTTAGTGATGACGCAAGCAGGAGAGCATTATAGAGTTCTACAAAAATGTGTAAGGAGTAAACTTCTTCTCACAGACAGCAGTTTAGAGAACTGTATAGTGATGCAAATCAGAGCTGAGCACATTTTCCTAGTGAAAATAGCTGTACAAGCTACGTTCCCAGACAGCACAATTCAGAGATTTTTGAATCATGTTTAGACAGAAGTGGTTTCTTGTACTGGAGGAGGCTTAGAGCTTTGAAGGCACTAGCAAGCTTGGACTAACCATGAACTTCTGATCATTCCTTTGACAACACAGTAGAACTTGTTTAACAAGGTCAGCAAGCAGCTGTCTTGTGATGCTCTACTTAATTCATTGCAATGAACATTTAAGAGCAAAGCAAGATGCTGGCTAAAAGACAGCATGGCTACAACAGGGCAAATTTTTTTAAACAGTTTTGTAGGAAGATCATATTTTGCTGTATAAGCCTCAAATAAATACGTACCCTTCAAATAAGCAAAAAATAGCTTTTAATAGCTAGGAGTCTACAAGTTCTCCACAAACTCAGGGTGAGGATAAAGGGACGTGTAAGAGTAAGTTAAATTCATTTTCTGAAACTTACATTAATTTTTCGAAACTGTGAAAAGTACGATCGATAAAATGATGGAAGTCCCAACAAGGAATTTTCTAGATCCAGTAACTTGCACGTGTCCCCATCCAACACTACATTGGCAGAGTGAAGATGGCCATACGGAAATCCCTTCTCATGCAAGAATTTTAATACCTGAAAAAAATCCAAGGCAGAAGCACAGTCACAAGATGTCCTGATGATCTCAAGATCTCAAATGCTCCAATACAAAAGCAGATACATAATAAGCCTCCAGTTTGGAGCTCCTGCTAAACTTGATCTTCTATCTACTCCACCTTTGGCTGACTATCCATTCCTATTTCACTGGTAACATTTCTCAGAGAGCACATAGCTGATGCTATCTTCAGAGTTCAAAGACACTTCCCAAAGAGACCTGGAAACTAAAAGTCACAGTTCTACCATATTCTATAGTTTAAAAGCCCACACATTCAGTGACAATTACTTTATGGCCCATTTTTCATAGTCTATGAATTATTTCTTTCCCTTTCACCCCAACTGGAAAAAACTTCTGCGAAGATAAAAGGATGCATAGAAGTCAGCTAAACTAATTTTCTGAAACATTAGCACCTCTCTCCCACCTCAGCTGCACATGTAATAGCTGCCTTGTTATTTTTTCTTTCCTTTTTTTCCCCATCAGTCAGAACAGGTCTCATACGTATCTAAATTCAGCTCCTAGCAGTTCATCTCAATTTACATTTAACTTTGAAGTCTGCTGCCAAAGAAAATCTTGCCTGCACAAAAAGTTTGTCTATTTTTTCTAGTAACTTTGTTGTGCTCAAAAAAAAAAAAAAAAAAAAAAAGCCACCACAAAAACCCTCAGATAAATAAAGTATGATAAAGAAAGCAAAAAAAATACCTCTAGTATTTGTCTTCCATATGTCTTTATCTGCTGAAGTTCGAGACCTTGAATTTTCTTAGGATTGCAATACTTCTTCAGGAAGGGATCTTTCGGTCTGGCCTTTAAAAGAATGACACATATCAAGTATCATGCTCAGAAAAGCCAGGAATTGTCTTAGTTTGCCTAGCAATAGATGGAACAGCTTCAGAAAATACATACTATGGACATCCCAACAAATATTCAACCATTTGAGGTGGGGGGAAAAGAGAGAGAAGATATTACCTTATAAATAAGGTCCTTTAACGTCCCTTTTTCATTGAATGGTCTAATAACCAGTGCTGAAGATTCACTGGCGGTGGCAAAAGTGACTTTGTAAATATAAGGATGCTACAAAAAGAAGAAACTGTAGGTAAGTTTCAGGTGACAGATGCTGTAATTTATTTCTTCTTGATTCATGAGAAAGATCTGTCTGAATCGTGTTGTAAGCAATAAAATGCATTCTGCCAGTGACATTTGCTCTAGTTACTCTTAATTTAAAGTAGATCAAACTCCACAAGAACACTGTTAAACATTCACATAAAATCAAGAAAAATCCATTGTATTTTTTATTAAAAAAAGAAAAAAGGCTGGCAGTATAGATAAATGAAGAATCCATCTCAATTAACCCTTAATGCGTGAGCAGCTTTACTGCAGGTTTAAGCCATGCTAAGCTAATGAATTTATTCAGGGTTTTATACAATTATGGCACACAAGAAAACCCAGCATTAACAATTGTTGTAATAGTTCCATGTCTTTAGAAATCATTCTAACGACTTCCAGCAACACTGTGAAACCAAATGAGAAGTACATGCTGAAATAAATAACACGTGCAACACAAACACTAACTGAAATTGCTAGTTAGGAAAAGATTTCTCATTCATATCTTATTTTAATGCATCAGCTTCAGATTGTTTCGCAGTTAAAAGCCTTGTTGCCCCTTCTAGTGTGGGCATCTTCCAATTTCTGGACAGCACAGAGGTTTACCCATTTGAAATTCCATTATTTTCAGCCAGTCCAGTTTTTCAGAGATGCCTACTGGATTCTTAATGTGGGAGTTTCATAATCTGGCCCTGTACCTCTAACATGACGTTTCTGTCTAAAATTCAAAGAACTGAAAAAATAATGACACTCATTCCTCTGCTGCCCAAGAATGTTCCCAGTATACCGGTTAGAAAGATATCCCAACAGCCTGAAAGTATTGAGAAAATGAAATAAAAGCACGTGATCTCACAGGACAGCACCAGAAGAAAAGAATACAATTAGCCACAACTCTGAAAGCCCTGCAACAATTCAGCAGGATTATTATTTGTGCTGAGAACACGTTACCTCATACTGTGTGGGAAACTTAATTAAAAAGTTCACACACCTTTAAATGAAAGCAACTCTAAAATTATAAACCATGTCTACTAGACTACATGTGTTTTTGCAAGGTCAGCCCTTGCAATCACTTCTTTTGTGTTGGCACAATTGAAAGGTCTTCAACTAATACTCACAGAACAGGAAGAAAGAAGTTTCACAGCATACTGTAAGTCTTTGTCAGACAAGTATTTATCAGGGCCAAGATCAGCCTAAAAATAAATAGGAAAAGAAAGGTGTCACAGTTGATATTATATTCCATAACATTTGATCTATACTCTGCTCTTATAAATGAAGGCAAATGCTTCAATGTATATTTTGAAGTGCAAGAAAGGAAATTTTATGTGAAAAAAAAAAAAAATTTAAGGGCTGAATAAGGTCATGGTTTCACAATACAAAACATCTGACTGTATGTATTATTGCCTGCTTCCTCCCTGGTAGCTGACCCATATTACTACCACTGAATGAACCTTGCTAAGCCCCAGCTGAGGGACTGTGTGGACTGTGAATTAACAGAGCATCAATCCCCACCTTCTTCTCCTCTGCCAAAACCATCTTCCCTTCTGCAGGCTTCAGCAATATCCACTCTTCAACACATGTCACAAAGAAGTTTCCACATCACCCACCCACCTGAGGGCTCAAGGCCTTCAGAGCCTGAACTCTTAACACTGGCTGTCACTCCTACCTGGTGGCCAATACAAATGAAATAAGGCAAGTTCATTATGAAAGACTTGAGAATAAGATGAAAGTATACATACCCAGCTTAACATTAGCCGTTCCTTTGGTTGATTCTTTATCTTCATTAAAAAATATTTCTTACGTATTCGCCAACCTGCAAGAAGAGTCATCACCAGTTTTAATTAAAGCCCTACTAAATCACATGGCTTACGTGCAGGACAAAGTTTGTAAGTAATGGTAGATTATGACAACTCATTAGAAAAAATACAGCAAGTTTTTGTGCATACATGCTCTTCTTACCTATATCTTTTAATGGTTCTACCACCTCCCACTTTGGCTCTGATCGGAAGAACATTGAAACATGCTGTAAGGCAATTTCTGGGGAGAAAAAAAAAAAAAAAGAGAGACTATTTAATGTGATTTTTACATTGTTAAGGTAAGGATCAGGCCTGCAGGATTTCAGACTCAGTCAGCAAAATCACTTTAAAAGGAAATCAGATAAAACCACACTTAGAGGGCATTTGCATTTATAACATGAGAACTCAAATCCACAGAGAAAACAGAAAGCACTGCCTTCAGAAAGCATGGCTTACTGAGTTTGCATTCTATTTCTACTAGATCTGCATCCCCAAGTCTAAATCTAATGCTCATAGCAAAGACTTCCCACACACGGGATACCCTATGGTAGATCAGAAAATGTTTTTGCCATACCTATAAAAGCGCTACCTTGTAAACCTCCTTACTGTACATTTAATAGGATATTTTTCTAGCTACTGTGATCCAATATGCATTTTTCAGAGGAAAAGAAAGGAAAAAGGAAAAAATGGAAAAAAAGATAAAAAGATAAAAGAAAAGGAAAAAAAAAAAAAGGACGCCCTTCTGGTTACTGAGCTCTCCCACAGCTGGGAATACAACTGGTGTATTCATGAGCAGATTGGAGGGGAAATCTCCGTGAGAAGTGATGACAGCAGGGGTAGAAAGGGAATCATGCCAGCAAGGAGTTTTGTCAAACACAGCTTATCTTGCCTTAGGAACACTGCAAAAAGGTAAGAATGCACCATATCTTTCTGCACACTAACTTCTCAATCTAAAAATATGCTAAGAAAAATGGAACAGTGCACTAAATGTCAGTTCACTGCTCCAGTATTAAAAGATGACACACTGATGTTGCCTCCAAGGACCATAGGCAACTATCTCACTGCTACTAACCTCCCTGTAAATTGCAGAAGGAAAAATATTCTTGATGGAAGCACAGATTTAACACAGAAGTCACTGTATCTCCTACCGGATTCAAACTGCTTGCTCAGCATTAGCCAGACAAACTGCATCCTTAGAGTTACTAACAATTTACATCTCCTCCACAGCTTATCATTAGCATTTGGGAAATGTTCTTTGCACTTTGAAGTTGAAAACAGAACGTTACATAAAGGGAGAGCAAAAAGACAAGTAAAAAGGAAGCAATAAGTTCCTGCTTGAGCAGGCTGTGCTTTTATGAAAACAAGCTTTGCATTCTGCAAAGAGTCAGTCTGCCTGTGAAGTAAATCTACGGTTGGGTTTCTTGGTCTATCAGACAAATTCTAGCAGTTTCCAGTGGCTGAAGCCAGAGAAATTTAAAGGAGAGACATTTAATAATGAAGGGAACTGATCACTGAGGTATCATTTGAAGGACTGCAGTGATTTTCCAGTTGAGGGTGGAGGAAGGCTTTTGCTCAAGCCTTGAAGAAACATCAAACATATCTCAGACAATTAGTTCTATGAAATATCGCAGCCCTAAGTCACAGTGAGAGCTGGACAAGATGACAGCAGCTGTTTCTGTTGATTTGAAACATATAAGAACCCTTACAACTGCAAGATTCTGTGTTCAAAAGACCAGTGGTGAGAGCAACCTGCAGAACTGACCAGATGATAAACAAATAACTTCCAGACACCAATCCTCCCATTCACCATCTGCGAAAACACATTTCAGTTTCATTTCCCCCCCCCCCTCAGGTTCAGATTATATAGATGTTAATTTAAACACTTACAGCACAACTCATTCACAGACCTGGGCAAACACTGCCATACTGTGCATGTGATTATATGTGATGGTTGTGATGGTTGTTTCCCCCTCCCTCTGCTGCAACATGCTTCAGTGTAAATCCTCACCAGCACGGCTGGAAGACACACACACATGCTGCAGTGAAGCTGTAATGCAGTTTTACAGTTCCCCACTTACCAGTGTAGTTTACAGAATAGCTGTTTGGATCCAAGAACTTTTTTACCAGTTCACAGTTAGACAGTATGTGATGGGAAGTAATCACATCGAGATAGGCCTGGAGTCCTTTCTGTCTTTCTGCTATGAATTCACGCTCCATGTTTCCAATCAATTTTTTTGGAGGAAGAGGTAGACTTAGAGATGAGATCTTAAACAGAGAAGAAAAGTTACTAACGGTGCTCTCAAAGTGCCTCAGGGATGTAAACTAACAACACAAAGTAAGACTCCTAGCAGTGAGCTGACTACTAGATTATTCTTTCCACACTGTAAATATGTAAGCTCCTATGTTTTGTTTCAAAGTACTGTTATCAGGGAGAGGCAGTCAGACAATAGCTTGCACCCCAGTGTGAAGAGCTTCATAAATGGAACAACACTGAAAACGCAAGATCAATTTTTGCTGGTGAGTCATGCATTTAAGATCACAGCACAGAGCTTTCAGACTCTAAATGGCTACATTTCAGCCAAATGCTATTATACACCTTTGTGCACACACCTTATCATTTTCTCCTGGCAAGATTTATGTTTTCTTATTTAAAGAAGTGCAGATTAACAACTTTCCTCTTGCCTCTACTGCTTTTATGGGTAATTTAAAGCCCTTATTGTCAGTATATCAAATCTGTAATTTCAGATACAGTGCAACTTTTCCAAAGTTGCCCAAAGCATTATGTGGGTGAGATCAAAAGGATCATCTTTAGAAAACAAATGCAGGCTGCACACTGTTTATATTTAATTACGTCACACGAGTAGCCACAATCAATGTTTAACACTGCTAACACACAACTGTCCTGCAGATCTAAGCACCTGCCCGGGGTAGAATCTCCACAGGAGTTATCTTTAAGAAACGTGCATCACAGCAATCAATTACATTCAGTGCAATAACCCCCACTTCCAAAGCAAACAAGTCAACCAGAGGAGGGCCTAGGGGGGCTTGAACAATCCTCATTTTAACCAGTGGAGAGAGGAAGGATCAGTTCAACCAACTGTGGCAGAGGCAGCAATCTCTTTCCTTTTTTCTTCCTCCTTTTGAACCCACGAGTTGCTTCCCCCCATCAAACCCTGGTACTGCCTCTGGCTCTGACAGCAAACCACAGGCTGAAAAAGAACAACAACTATGTCTATACTGCAGATGTTAACCCAAATCATCCTGTCCACTGAGCTTTCATTAGAGTTTTTTTTACACACCCTTGGGGAAAGCAAAAAAGCATCTGGGAATAAACCCCAGAGCAACAACGCATCACTTACAACCTGCAATTCACCAAATCAGCTCTAACACCACAGGCATGCAAGGCCCGCATTTGGCAGACCACTCCTTCAATTCAGCAAAGCTTCTAAGTAGAAACTAAATGCATTTCTGACATTACTCACTTGAAAAGCACGTCCAGTCATAATCACCTTTATCTGACAGCTAGCTACCATCAGAGAGAAAAGGACTAGAGTTCACATGTTTTCAAACTACCACTCCTTTCCCCCCCTCCAATAAACCACACATCTGCTATTTTTTCAGCAGAAAGCAGAGTTCACCCCCAGGTTTTTGTAGTTATCTCTAAGACCCAGAGCACGGTGAGAACACCACCACAGCCCCCACCTCGCTGAGGTCCTGACCTTCCCAGCACACAGTGGCTCTGGATGGGTTGTACCACAGCAGAACCAGGAACTTTTCTTATCTTCAAGTCACAGCCTGCTCAAAAGCTGCAATAAAATGCTTCACGAAAGCCAGACATCTTTGTCATAAATCCTGTACCCAGCATTCACTTAATTTTATTTATTTATTTATACTGTTTTTGGAGTCTGGAGGTTTTTGTTTCTTTTCTTGTTGTTTTAATCAATCTCAACATGCACAAGATGAGGGTTTACACTGTTTATAAACAAATCATGGGACCTGAGGATTGTGATGAAATACTATTGCTTACAGTTCTGGATGGAAAGAACTGAGGAATGCTGAATGTCTTAATGGATCAGAAAACTTCAGTGCCAGCACCTCAGAGCAATTTATGCAATTTATAAAAAAGCTTAAGAACAGAACAGTGGGGGAAAACTGCAATTAAACATGCTTCTCATCACCTATTGTCTGTCGTCTCCCAACCCTGTCTGAAGGAGCACTGGTGGTTGTCAGAAGCAGAGCTGTGCAACCTTGGTAAAGGCTCTAAATTCACCTCTGCTGGGCTGAAGAATGACACCTCAGGCAGTGGCTCTATAGCAGCCAGAACAGGCATTTCTCCAAGCAGAGATGCATCTTTGCTTTCCAGACTATAAAAGCAGAAAAACGCAGGAGCTGGAGACTGAGGGAGCGTGCAGTAGTTTTCACTGAAGGAGATGAAAAGCTAATGAAGATGAGCTATTAATTTAGCTGCCCTCTACATATCATTATATCTAACTTAGAGAGGAATGTCCTGATGATTCATTTTGATCTTTTCTAATCATCCAAGGAGCTGATGTACCTTGTAGCTGCAGACTCCTTCCTTCATTTCAAATTCTTCCTTGGCCATACCGCAAGTTCTACCAAATACTTCCCAGTGCCCTTCACTTTTATCATTCACCTCTGCCTCAGATGCAAAGGCCTCTTTTTTTACTACATCATATGTAAGCTATTTACCTTTGCTTATCACACCTTCCACCTAAATTTGAAGTCAAATGTCCAATGCTTTTTCCAACAGACCTGGCTCATGTGAAAGTTAAACAAGAAGGTAACAAAGCTCTGTAATGCCTTAACATTCTGTTCCCCACAGTTAAGAGGAACTTGTTGTATTAGATTAAAAAAAGAACTCTCTATTTTCTCCCCAAAGCCTTCTCAAAATTGATTCTCTGAGATATCTCCACCAAAACTTGGCAGTGGTGAAGACTCCAATGAGCACTGTATGCTCACTGTGCTGAGCAGCACCACTTCGTTTCCTTGTGCTCCCGTGGGTGCTTATCTAATCTTCACTCTTGGATTCCTTTGGAGCAGAAGACACCTCTGTCCTGCATTTATTCAGCACATCACACAGGTTTCTAGATCATGACAAAAGTTACAGTATGCTGCTGTATATTCAGTAAAATAATTACACAACTCAACCACATTGCATCTACTGAGTTACAACCAATTAGCCCCAACATCTACCTTCTAATCTGCTTCAAATGATTCCCATCCTATTGGAATATACAACTCAACACTCCAACATGTTTTTGCTCAAGGAGGCTCATCTAGCAGACAGCTGATCTGATTTGGCGGGGGGTGAGGAGGGGAGCAGAAGCTGTATTCAACTCCTGATGATGGGGGGCAATTAGTCACACAAATCCACCCTCAAATCAGTGTCACTTTTTATTTTGCTCGCCTAGTCCTATGGAAATCCCAAGTGACAAGTTCCACTCCTGTAGATGCCAGCTCACCCCCCTTCTCCCAAACACACTCGTGTCCCCTGCTTTTTCCCACACCAACTAAAAAGAAATAATTGTCCTAAAAAGCAAAAGGAAACACACAGTAAGTCCAGTGTTTAACTAAGGAACACTTCCCAGAGATACAGAAATCCATCACATGATAAGCAGCATCTGGAAGTGCTTTTAGACCAATATAAATAATGAGACACATAGCACTTCAGTGCTGAGTTTATAATGTTGGTATGTGCCTTGGCTTTCCTCAAATCAAAGGAGGAACAAATAATAACACACCAAACCGGAACAAGCTGCAGTACTGAAGGGACAGATTCACTATCTGCCAGTCTCCACCATTTCTATGTAAATCGATGCTATTGATGCTGAAATTATAATTTTACAAGAGAAAAACTGAGAGTGAAAAGCATACATTCGAGTTACACTTGAAAGCAGTTTACAGCTATGCAAATTTCTATTTTTTTCTTTACTGTAGCATACAAAAACAACACAAGCCATGTCATATATATATCATTTCAACTGACATTTTATATTCATGTATCAGGGTAAAAGTTACCTGCAAGCTATTATTAAGCAAGTCGAAGTCACTGTATCGCCTCACAATCTGCAATATAGAAAGATGAGTTGAGGAAACACATCACTTTTCTCATTACTGTTTTACCCTTCTTCCACCCATCAGAGAGAAGCATTTTCCATTTGTAACTCTCTTCATCTTTTAGCCATTTTTGTACAAATGTAAATGGATTTATGACGTGCTGCCAGAGCACAGAAAAGAGTTTTCAATGACATCCTGACCAGAATAGAAATGCAGGTCTCAATATTATTCCAAACAGCTTTCCCAAAAATATTTGTCAGCGGCTGCCTGCAAACAGTGCACTTCTGCTGTATTAGAACTATATTAGAAGCAATAACTTTTCATGACCACCTTCATCTCTACTTCTAGGTTTTATTGGCTGTGTGTTAGCATGGCTGTGATTTTAGTACTGAGGAAGGCAAACTGGCATTTGAATTAAAAATGACATGCGTGCCAGTGTACAGTAATCACACCATGACAGAGACTTTTCCTGTTTTCCCGAGACATTCACATCAGCAGAGCCTTCTGCAGCTGGCAATAACACTTTCTCAGCTTTTGACCATTCAAATACTTCATGTTCTCAATTTAAATCACTATTTCCCTCTCCAGTTCACATTTCAGAAGCTAGAAAGAGCTTCAAATTCTTCCTGAGAGGCATCATGGTTCAGGAACCGGAGTTTAAGAAATTACCTGCCAACTGTTTTCCGCTGAAACTCCTCTCTGAACACGGATTATGTATTCCTAGTGAAAGAAAAAACTTATTAGGAATAAGAACTAATGAGCTGAACAACGTTATTAGATTCGGCTCCAAGTATGACCACATCCCAGTTAGAAAACGCTCAGAAGCAGAAAATTCAGATCCAGATTTTAAGCTTCAAGGTGAAGACCCATGGCCAGCTGCTCCCCCTCTGCTGTGCAGAGGTCCAAGAGCTTGCAGAATTAAGTACCCAACACTGTCCCTCACTTAAGGAAAGAGAATTCTCAACAACAAGAAATCCAGCTTCTGGTCCTGGAGAATTACTGTCTCAACCACCACAGGACCCACTGCCATCCCATCAGCTGCCCAGCTTCTCATTAGTTCAGCATGAAAAAGGTTACCACAAAAGTCTGTGAAACTCGAACACACCAGTTTCTCAAGACGGCAATTCTTCATTTCTAGGGCAAACTTAATGCTACTTATTTATACATTAAATATGCACATATAGCCAATCTCGTTTGGATTTTAAAGACTGATCATCCTCCCACCTCAATTACATTCATAAAGCACAACTCTCTGCCTCTGTGCCAAGCGGTGTGTGAGCACCCTGCCAGCCACTGCCTGCAGCACACACACATCAGATGCTGAACCATTTGCTATTCAGGTTCCATGACTTCACTCACCCCACTACAAACTTTCAAACACCCTTCATGCGAGCACTGAGTGATCTTCCAACTTCAGTTTTGCAAAAACAGAAAGGCAGAGCAGAGCATTATGCACTACAGTTTCTTCAGATATTAAAATTAATGATGCATTCCAAATTACCATGAACAAGCAGTGAAGAAATAAGGAAAAAAAAACAAAGGCACTTCCACCACCTTGAGTTTTTATGCCCAACTTGTCCAATATGTAACAATAACTGCAGCTACACGTCTGGCCTGTACCTGCATACTGAACACATCACTCCATCAGGAGCTTGATCCAGGCAGTGTTACGCATTCAGCTTTGCAGTTAACAACTCAAGAGGGGCATTTATGAGTAACCTCTTTCAGATACAATGAAATGTCTTCTGTTTTTGGAAGCTGCCTCTAAGACCACACAGAACTAATTCTTCTCTTCTAAATGAAACCAAGGTAAAGGCTTGAGTACTGACCAACAAAAATGTACCAGAGAATCCCAACAGTGGGGAACACATCAGCCTCAACTAATCCAGGATTTATTTACTGGAATTTTCTTCCAAAGCACAGTGCTGCTCAGGCAAGAATGCTATTTATTTCATTTTCTCAAACTTATTTAAAATCCCCTTTATCAGCAACAGCTATCAAATATCAGTTGCAATTTTGAGCCACATATCCTGAGAACAAATCCAAGACCAGTAAGCGTGAAAATCAAAGCCATGTAAAATGCTCAGTATTCCAGCAGCTGAGACAGAAGTGACAGAAATGGAGGTGGGCACTCAGTGCCCCCGGAGGTGTTTGAGAACCATGGAGATGTGGCACTGAGGGATGCAGTTATGGGCACGGCGGGGCTGGGCTGGAACTAAATGATCCCAGATGTCTTCTCCAACTTTAACGAGTCTATGAAATCCAGGATGTCACAAACCAAAGCATGCAACTTTGATACTAGAATTAAAGTGCCCACATTCAGCAAGTCACACTTATCTGCTCCCCGTATTCTCTCCTATTACCCATTTGAGATTGCCTTTATTTTCCTGCAAAACAGGAAGCACAAACCTTCACAAGTGGTAACAAAACCCCACAGAGTCGATTCCAACCCAACCAGCAGAATCACATTTGGAAATTCTGTGACATGTGGACATGTGGAAAGGGACACATGGAAACCAAGATCCACAACTGAAGTTAACTTTCCCCGACTTTCCCTATTTTGTGGCTGTTACTGCATTTTGGGAAGTAGGAAGAGACTGTTTCACTCGCTGCCAAAAAACGCAGCAACTGCTTATTCAGCAAGTCTCGAAGGAACATTGGCTATTTCTCCAGAAAAACCCACATCAGGGATGATTCACCACGCTCAGTCATTCATCTCTTCTAGTATTTTGAAAGAAGCAAAATCATTGCCCAATCCCTCGTTACCCAGCAATTAACCTTCCCTGCTGCACTCCACGAGGCGCTCTCAGGACAGCAGAGCACACCATTCATTCACTGACTGTCAGAGCATCCTGTGCACAGCGCTGCTCTGATCAATACCACAGTCATCTCTGCTGCACAGCACAGTGATAAACAGCTCTCATTTCCTTCCCTGCACTCAGATCTCATTTTCACAGGAAGATTGTATTACAAAAACATCATGGGGACACAACTATTTTTTCCATGGTGTTCTCCCATCCAGTTCTGCTTGGGTGCCCTAAAGCATTAGCAGAGTACCTCGTTTACGTTGTACAACAAGAGAGCATCACTCTGTAGAAGTGGCTGTTAGCTGTGTACTGAGAAGGCAGGTCCCAGCATGCTCCTCCATCAGTGCTGAAGGCAATGAAGAACTGGCACTCAGCACCACTTGGCCAACACAACCAATGACAACACCTGAATGGTCTTCTGTCTTGTGCTGATGTGACCAAAAGTCAAAGAATAGCTACAGTAGAGAAGCCATAATAAGAAGGACAGCCCCACTGCCAGTACTGCCCCAGTTAGCCATGCCCAGCAGAGCGGCACGCTGAGTTCAGAGAAGTTGCCTCAGTGCAGTGATGAGCTTGCTGTGGGATCCCAACCAGCACTGCCAATGGATGTGTCCATAGAGCCAAAAAAGAGCTTCCAGCTCTGCAAGGAAAATGCCTCAGCACACAAAAGGTGTCAAATTCTACTCAGGAAAAAGAATGATTTCCAACAATTTTAGACTGAGGCGGTCTGATGTCAGTGGGACAGAGACTGTGCCCAGAGGAAAAAATGCAAGCGTAACCAGACAGACACACTGACTGGCTGCATCATATAGAATAGATAAACCTGATAGACCAGGTTTCGGAAAAGGCTACCAACTATCTAAGCTCAGTCCTGCTGAACATGTTGGGTATTTAAAACCGGGCTCAGCAAGGCCTAATTTAGCTGCACTTTCCCTCGAGTCACGCAGAAATTCCCACGATGTCTTCACTCCTACGTGAGCAGCTCAACATTTTTTCCAGGACTCAGTTTACCAAAGGACTTCACAAAGACTGCCAGATGGCACAGACTGGCTCTTGGAACAAGACACAAAACCCCACACAACAGCAATGACCAGCAGCCAACACATGGGTCCAACACAGACCTTCTCCTCTAACCCCAAGCCATTCAGTCAGGTCTGAATGTCCACTGCTTTCCTCAGCACTGCTGAGCCAGTTCCTGCCACCAGCTCAGTCTGCCAGCAGCAGTTCTGTACACATATTTACACACACACTTAAAGATGCCAAGCAAAGCACTTTTACCTATAGGATCATTTCCTGCTGCTCCGCTAGACAAGAAAGAGGAAAACAGTGCAGGGAGAAGGGAAAGCTGTGTGACCCCAACATGTCAAAATGTTTAACACTGTTGTTTATCATCTTTCCTAGTTCATAAACAGAAAGCAAATGGAAGAGAAGGCTTTTGTAGAGATGAAATCAGAAAAAACAAATAGTGCAATGAGAGGTTCATATCATTAAAAGCACAACATCCCTGGCCAATACTGGGTAATATGGTCTGTTTTCCCACAAAAATCATCTCCAAATTTCTGGCTCAGGACAGTCAGCCTATTTCACAGATTTCTGCTCTACATCTTGTAATCCAACAGGCTTGAAAAGCCAACCACTATAAGGATCCAGGTCACCTTCAGATCACATCAACTGCAAGTTTGAAAGGGCTTTATTTTATAAGCATTAAAGAGAGGAAAGCCTAATGAAGCATGAATGCAATCCCTGCGTAAGTAGGCTGCGCTGAAACTATTTCTAATAAGATCTTTTAAATGTTTACTCAGAAAGTCTCCCATGTGAAAAGCAGCAACCAAATGAGGCAAACTGCTCAGCTCAGCACTCCCTGCAGGGCAGAGTCCTCCTTCAGCACAGCACACACTGCACCAAGCCCCACTGATGCTGCAGCAGCGGTGCTTACCTGCACTGCACGTGTCTGGGGACGTCACACAGTTCCACGATGGCTGTGTGGCTTTGTGGCAGCGTGAGCTGCTCAGCAAGGACAGCAATGAAGTAGGACGACTACGGGGAAAAATAGGACATGCGTTTACACATCATGAAATGTACTGAGCATGAAAAGCTCTGGGGAGCAACAAGAGAAACAAGGGCAGCCAATGCGCTGCAGTGCCACGGCCTTTGTCAGAAAGGGAAATGCGCTGTACTGCTTGGGAAGACTCAGCACTCAACAAAGATTATGCTGCAGGATCTCTAAGGAGGCAATATTCTGCCTGCAGCCCATGCAGATGCCATCCTCACTCAGCACGTTCACTACTGGAAACCATAAGGTTGGAATACTCTAAATAATCTGCGATGAAACCGCTCTCATTTTCAAGAACAGGTCAACCTCACCACATGCTATGGAGGATCTGTGTGTCCCAACACCCAGTGAGCGAGCTCTAAGAGCTCCTTGTCCAAAGCCATCTCTAAAGGTAATTTGAGGAAATTGTTTTTCAAAGCGAAGGCAAACATGTAGAGATTGAACTCCTTGTAAAGCAGATGGGCAAAGTCCTCTGCAAGCTTTTAAAATAATGCTAGAGTTCCAGAAATAGAGGGCACCATTGTTTGCTGCGTGGGAAAAAAAAAAAAAGAAATAATACAGGAAAAACATAAATGCTTTCTGAAGCATCAACAGTCATCTTCACTTGTGGAGAATGAAAAATTCTGGGAGTGTGTTACAAGAGGGATTCATTTCAGCCCGTTGCTTCCAAGTGCTGTTCAGACAGCGATGGACTGGAGCAAAATTAGCTGTCTGGCTACTTCAACCTCAATGTGAAAAGGAATGAAAAAGGAAAATTGCTTTGAAGAATGAAGGGGTGTTTAGGAGTTGTGGTTTTACTACTTTGAAGTGCTCTGAAATGTGTACGTACGGATGTGGCATACAGCCAGGTGATTGTGGAAGCATGCAGCTGCCTACCGAAGCTTACTGATAAAGCCACCTTTAAATGGGGAGCACACAGAACTGCAACACGAAGCAATTCCAGTAGCGAAAGTGTATTAAAGCTTTGGTGCTGGAAGTGTCTCCCTGTTGTCAGTGTGCATTTGGCATCAGGAGGAGACACTTGCAAATAGTTCCATACAGTGGATGTCATCTCACTCCCACTGAAGGCAAGGAGGGCTGCAGCGACAAAACTTCATTTCCTGCATAATGGCTGTACGTGGCCCTGCCAGGAGCACGAACCCAGCCTGCAGCAGGTGCCCCACAGCCACTCACGTCTCAGTGCCACTCAGTAACATAGAAAAGGAGCTGTTTCCACCTTCAGCCATCCCTGAAGGAAACACACAGAATGACAGACGCCGCTGACGATGTCTTTGCTGCCGCACAGAAGCAGGGAGAATACAGCCCAGCTCAGATGTACCAACACGAGGAAGAACTTCCAGCTCTTTTCACTTGGAAAAGAACAGAGTGCTCGTGAGTAAACCACAGCATTCTGCAGCTGCTTTCCTCAAGTTCTAAAAACAACAGAGGGGATTGCCATGCTTTTACTGAGCAGAAAGCACAAACCCTCGAAAGAACATTTCAGCTCCAAGCTCTGTCCCTGCTGTTTCTGGACAGTTCAGGTACTATGCAGTAGTTTCAAGTTTTGCTTTCAGTTTTATTTTTCAGCTTCATCTTCATCCCCAGGAAAGAGAAACTCAGTGCCTGCCAAGCACAGCCCTTGACTCAATGCCTTTCAGTTTATATTCACTCACTCTGTTGTATCAAACCTAAACTAACAGAAGCTGCTCAGAACAATAGAGAAGCGAGCTATTCAGTTGACACAAACTTTGGTCTTCTGCTGGGTGTTTCATGTGTCCACAGAGCCCTTCCTGAAATTCCCCACCTTTTCCTTCACTGGTTGCTCAGAACACAGGCTATTTTCAACACCTAGCAGATGAAGGCTTAGTTTTATAGATGTTCTTAGGGAGATAAAGAATGAAATAGACCTACATCTTGCTAGGAAATCACTTGAAGGTGGGATGGGGGACAAAACCAAAGAGTTAATGGCAACTTATTTCCTTCCAACTATAACATAACAGTCCTGATGTCCTGCAGAAACATTTCTACTATACCAAACCTGCTAGATATTTCTTAGAGAGGATTCATTTATGCACCTCTTCAAGCACAAGGATCTATTGGTGGAATTATTTATACCAGGCAAGACCAAATAAGAGACAGCATTAGCAGCAATAATCACTCAGGTACCGGTGACACAAGCTGAAGTGTCCAAAGTGACAAAACACTCAACTGCCATCAAATACGAACATAGGGCTCCGTTACAGCTTCCTGCATTTGGTTATCCTGCACTGCTGTTCTACAAACCATCTGTGCTACAGACACTTCAAACCATCTTTCAACTATCAACAAGGCTTCTGCAGTAAAACAAACAATTACTAATAGATGTATCTTAGAGACAGACTTTAAACCAAAAGGCACAGTGCTTCAGCGTTCTGTTATTAACAGAAGATCAGAACTACTCAGCTGAGGCTTCTTTCTGAACATCCATTAGTAACAGAGTACAGAGATGGAAGGTGGGGAGCTAACATTTACCATCAACCTCACCCAGCCAAGGCAAGAAGCACACTGGATTGAAAGCCTCCCAAATACTCATTCTAAAAGGATTTTGTGTTGTTTTTTTTCCCTTAATCAGACTGACACAAGCTGAAGGAACACAACAAGCTGCTACCATCACTTGCACTTGCAAAGAAGCGCAACAAGCCATAATAAAAATGAGTTAACAATGAAACTGATCCGGGCTGCTAACAGGCAACGCTGGAAGTCACACAACTTCTGCAGGTCCTGGTGCAGACACCCCTTAGTTACCAGAACAGACAGAAGCACGGGGCCTGCCGGAATACAAACCTGGTCAGCCTCATTTACAGCAGGAGCTGCAAGAGGGGAGAGCCACGGCCTGCCAGGTTCACCACACCTACAAGAGAAGACTTTGAAGAGAAGTCACATATGAACAGAGGGAGCCTGGAGCATGAGTTAATGTCAGCTCTTCACGAATAATAAGAAGAGTAACACGCGGTGTAACGCCGCTGTAACACACGCCGTAACGCCGCAGAAGCGCAGCCTGCCTGGCTCAGCCCTGCCCGTGCACAGCACGCTGCCTGCCGGCCTGCCGCTGCCGCAGGGCCCAGCATCGCTGCTCCGACGCAGCCAGGAGCGGCAGCCGGCTCTCCGCTTCTCCGCTCGCCCCCTAACAGCGCAGCTCTCCGAGCGCAAAACAACCGCGGGCAGCAGATAACGAGACGCGGGTCGTCGGTGCTCAGGCAGCGCCGCGCTCGCGAAGGCGGCCTGCAGGCAGCCGGGCCAGCCGCGTGACGCCGCTCCGGGCGGCTCCGGCACCGCCGGCACGGGGAGCGCGACGGCACCGCGCCGACACCCGACAGGGCGCGACACATCGCGGCGCCGCTTCGCCTCGGCCACCGAAACGAGGCGGCCGGGACCCGTCGCCGCTCCCGAGAAAAGCGGAGAGCGCGGGCGGCGCGAGGCCTCCCTCCGGGCGGACGAAGGTCGGGGCGCCGCCGAGCCCCAGCGGCGGCCGCGCCGGGTCGGAGCGCGGCGGCGGGCAGCGGAGCGCGGAGCGGCACCGAGCCGCCGGCACGCGGGGCCGGGCGGAGGCGGCACGGCGCTGCCGCGGCCCTCCGCGCCCCACCTCGCGGCACCTCCGGCGGGACGCCGCGCCCCGCATCGCTCCGCCGCGGCCGAACCCCGCCGCTGCCCCGGCCCCGCTCCCCTCCTCACCCGGGCTCCCCTCATCGCCGCCCCCCCAGCCCAGCGCCGCGGCCCGGCCCGCCGCCCTCACCGTGTGCGAGTGCAGGCTCTGGCTCGCTTCGATCTGCGCCGTCAGCGGCACCGTGTCGTCCAGCAGCACCTTGCCGGCCGGCGGCTTCTCCATGAACGCCATGCCGCGGAAGAGCGACGGGAGCCCGGCGCCGCCGACCCGCTCCTCCCCGGCCGGCTCCCGGCGCGACCGCCGCTGTCAACACGGCAGCGCCGCGCCGCCCCGCGCCGCCCCGCCGGGCCTTAGCGCCGCCGCCCGCCCTGCGCCGCGACCGCCCGCCCGCCAGGGGGCGCCGTGCCGCCCCGACGGCCTCACGCAGGGCGCGGCCCTCAGGGGCGCCCGCGCCGCTCGGGCCTCGCGCGGTAGAAGCGCGGCTCTGGCGAGTTCATCGCCGGGGCCGAAATGCGGAACGCAGCCGCAGCTCGCGATGCGGGGCCCCGCCCTACCGCCGGCACAGGGTGGGATGCGGGCAGCTCCCTGCTTCTTTCTGGCTCTTGGTGGTGAAACCACCAGGAAAAGTTCAGCTAGGATTCAACATCTTCCCCTCACTCATCTAAAATCTGTACAACTGTTTTGTTGGGTTTTTCCCCCCATAGAAATCAGTTAAATTTCCTTACAGCGGTACTGAGACCCTACTTGGGAACCACAGAATGGCCAGGGCTGGAAGGGACCTCAAGGATCACGAATCTCCAACCCCCTGCCACATGCAGGGCCACCAACCTCCACATTTAATACTAGACCAGGCTGCGCAGAGCCCCATCCAATCTGGCCTTGAACACCTCCAAGAACAGGGCACCCACAGGCTCTCTGGGCAGCTGTTCCAGTACCTCAGCCCTGACGTCCAACCTAAATCTCCCCTCCCTCAACTTAAAACCATTTCCCCTTGTCCTGCAGTTACCAACCCTGTTAAAGAGTTGATTCCCCTCCTGTTTGTAGGCTCCCTTTAGGTACTGGAAGGCTGCAATGAGCTCACCCCACAGCCTTCTTTTCTCCAGGCTGAACAAGCCCAGCTCCCTCAGCCTGTCCTTACAGGGGAGGTGCTCCAGCCCCCTGGTCATCTTCATGGCCTTCTCTGGACCATCTCCAACAGCTCTCTGTCTTTCTTGTATTTGGGGCTCGAGACCTGGACATGGAAGCCTCACAAGAGCAGAACAGAGGGGAACAATCACCTCCCTGCTGGCCACCCCTCTTCTGATGGAGCCCAGGATACCATTTGCTTTTCAAGCTGGAAAGTCCAAGATCCCTATGTTTCAGTGACTCCCATAGAGAGCTGTGTGCAGGAACAAGGCTCACTGAGATGCACCTGCCATCCCTTACACAGCCTGGCTGCAGCTTCATGCTGACAGCAGAGCAGCTGAGCAGCACAACAGCTCCTCTGCAAACTGCTCCTGCTGCTCCACTCAGCTTCGGTTCATTGTGTTAGCAGGCACAAACCTAACATTGCACCCAGAGGGTCGGTGCTACAAGGAAGGATTGAGAAGACTCACTGCTGCACTGCACCTGGATAGCTTAGCTATTTTACTGGTACTTTCATTGCACTGTTTGAAGACAAACCTTCTCTCCATAGCGTAGCAATTGGACAGATCAATACGAGGGGAAAGGCATTATAGCAAAGGCATGATGACAAAAAGATCAGCATAACAGAAAGGTGCTATAAAGGAAGGGAAGACGACTGCTCACCAGTTATCAGAAGATTGCAGATTCACAGGAGGAAACTTCACCAAGGAAGGATCTCCGGAAAGAGACCCTTCCCCACTGGCAATCAGCCCTTCAATGAGGTCTACAGCTGAACTGCCTTCACCTGTGCTCCCGAGGCTGAGTGGGTCCTTTCCCAGGTGCTCAATCAGGCCAGGACTCAGCAGTTACCACGCACATAGCAAACAACTTCTGAGGTTATCTGCATCAGTGCACAATGCATTTCTGCTGCAGAGGAGATGGGAGGATAGCATATGTTTGGCCATAAAATTATGGGTCAGCCATTGAAAAGAGCCTGTGCTTTCAGTAGGTGGTCCCCATTATTCCTGGTGAAATATGGCAAGAGCTGCACCTACAAGCTTTATCAGAAAGCATATATTGCTTGTATAAAGGCTGACTACAACTTCTATGTAGAAGTTAGAATAGTGCAGAAGAGCACACCGCAGCAACATCAGCCAGAGCTTCAGTGCAGATTACCTGAAGAAATCTTGCAGTATGTGAGTGTCAGCACTTCCACTGGTCTGGTTTACTTGTGAAATGCACAGCACCATCCTTTCTCACACGTTTGTTAGCAATATAACTACTTTATAAACAGCAAAAATGTTCTGACTGAACTTAACTAGTGTAACCTGCAGATTGGCTGAAAGGAGCAGCCTCACTCCAAGCCCTGTGGCACGGCAGATGTTTGTCTAAAAGGGCCACGTCTGTCAGATGTGAGTGCCCAATTCTAGAACTGCACAGAAAAATAAAAAGGTTTAAGTTTCTTGATGCAGTTACTCTCAGGACTGTGTTTGTTTGCTGTCAATGAAAGATCCTAAAGGTTTTTTTCTTGCAAGTTTAGATGGAACGTGACAAAGGCAGTCAAAACCAAGCATACGCTTCTGTCTTTACTGTGAAGAAACACAAGATCAACAGCTCGAACTTGCTGGCACCATGACTTTCACCATCCCTTCCATAACAGTCTTTCCACTTTCTCTGACTTTACACGATACTGAGATGCGTGCAATGGAGCTCCTCAGTCGTTTCACTTCTGCTGCAGCTATCACTTCTTCTCCAGTATACAGAGGAGCTGGAAATCGAATCTCCTGAGAAAGAAACACACAGCCCTGACCGGGCATTTTAGTACCCAGAACTGCAGAAATAAGTCCATTGATCAAAACTCCGTGTACAACAGTTCTACCAAATTTAGTTTTCTTGGCAAAATCTTCACTTAAATGCAAAGGATTTGTGTCACCTGTTAAATGAGAAAAAGTAAGAACATCATTCTGTGTAAAAACTCTGGTAAGTTCAGCTTTGTCTCCAACTTTTATATGTAAATTCTGATGTAATGGACATCCAAACAACAGGTTGGTAACCACCAGCTTTGTCGAAGCTCTGTGTTGGAAATCCCCTCTAGAAATTCCACACCTGAAGAGCAGCAACATTTCAAGGACCTTCTGACAGTCCAACCAGACACACTCAGTCCAAGACCAGCTCCCTGCTGTTCCCAGCTAACGCAAGAAGAAATGGAGATGTCTTGTTTTGGGGGAAGAAAAAAAGAAAACAAGAAGCATTAAAAAAAAATCATCAAATGCACCTAGAGTTGAAAATATTTAATCCTCCCATTTATGTAGAAGATTTTAAAGTAAGAGCTATGACTAAGCAGAAATTTGTTTAGCATGGCTTCAGAGACAAAGAATTCATGGAAGTCATTTTATTAAGCAGCATCCTCAGGGGGAAAAGACAAAAACTCTGGAGGTACACGTTTATGCATCCATTTCTACGTGAGGTCATTACTGACTAGAAAGGGAAGAAATGGGAAGAAAGGAGCCAGACAAACACACAGCACAGCAGTGATGCTGGGGAGGCCCCCTCCTACCTGCAGCACCCGGAAGGCACAGCGCCTGTTCTGGTAGAAGCCCTGCAGGGTCAGAGCGCTCCACAGCTTGACGAGGCCACTGAATAAAAATAAGACAAAAGACATTAATTTATTTTTTTTTTCCCTCTTTTCCTGCAGCATAAATGTTTTTAAAATATGTTACACAAAGAGTAAGGAAGCAGACTTTGACAACCTGTAACCAGTGAGTTCTGGTAGCAGCTCTGTGTGATGAAGGGCTGTTATAAGGGCTGTACCCTTGTCCTTGGCACAGGGCAGATGCTAATGGTGACGTGTTATGTTACTGGTTCTGTTCTTAAGTTCTTCCTGTGCCTTTCAGCACCATTTCCCCCACAGCACCTGCAGCTGTCTCCAACATTTAAACCTGACCTCCGTTCTCACAGGAAGAGATTTAAAACCACACCTTCCAGCAGGGCTTTGCTCCTTCTGGACCCTTCTGTTCTACAGCAGGAACGAGGTACGGATGCACACGGGTTACAAAACCTTAGGGACTTTTTATTTTGCAGAACTGCTAAGAGATGGATGGGGCCCTGAAAGGCCGTCCGGCCCCACTTCCCTGTGATACACAGGGACACCCACAGCCCCATCAGGTGCTCACAGCCCGTCCAGCCTCACCTTGGCTGTCTGCAGCAATCCAGCACCTCTCTGGGCAGCCTGCGCCTCATCAGTGCAAGAGCAGTTTATACCCGGCCAGCTCTCCTCTCTTTAGCTCGAAACCATTTCCCCCCGTCCTGCCACAACAGGCTCAGTCTCCTTTCTCACAGCCCTCCACGCACACAGCCGAACCCAGCCTTAATTCCTCACAGCCCGCTCCTCGATGGAGCTTTTTGCTCGCGCGCCTTACCCGCTAATCACTCTCAGGACGGCACAGAGACTTTTCTCCTCGTACGCCAAGACGTCGACAGGCAGAGCGGCCCCAACCTGCACGCAGAGACGCCGTGAGGCGCAGCCCGGCTCCGCGCGGCTCGGCGCGATCCGCCCGCCTTACCTCTCCGTGCAGCTCCCGCAGCGCCGCCACCACCAGCTGCTTCAGCTGCGGGGCGCCGGGCCGCGCCGCGCCGTCGGGCAGCTCCCTGCGGGGAAACGGAGCGGAGTCGGGACGCGGCGGGGAACGGGGGGGGGGGGGGGGGGGGGGGGGGTGTCTTACGCACAGGCGGACCCGCAGGTAGCAGTGCTGCGCCGCGCTCACCAGCACCCGCCGCTCGTAGGCGGCCGCGGGCGGCTCCGTTCGCTCCATGCGCCCGGCGGCGGCCGCCCCTTCCTACGGCGGCTCGGCGGGGCCGCGGCGGGGCGGGGCTGCGGGCGCCGCGTGGGACCGAACTGCGGGGTGGAGGCGGGCACGGCGATCCGAGAAGATCGAAGCGCCGGTTAAAAGCTTAGTGAACAGCTGGATGGTTTGTTAATAAGTTTGTGGCCGTAAACGGGACCACCGCGATCCCTTCGCAGAGCCGCGCGCGTGGTGCTACGTCGTAACACGCGTAGCGATCCTAGAAGCTGCACGAACAGGCAGACGTTAAGAGATGCGCCCCAGCGATGCGGGAAGGAGCCGCCGCTGGCTGGGTGTGTTTGAGTCCTGGCTGTGGGTGACACGCGGGCACGAAGCCCTGGGATCGCGTGGAAAAGCGGCAGAAAGGAGGGAAGGGCCTTCGCTCTGCAAATAAACCAAAACTTTAATAATTTAAAAAGCACCCAAGATGAAACAGCCTGAGTTTAGGAACCGGATGGATTCTTACTTCTCCTAAAATTGCACCTCTCCGGGAATTAATCTGAGCCAGCACGGCAGCGACCTAACAGCCATCCAGTGCAGCCTGGGTTAGGGCCCAGCTCACAGGAAAGCATTTCCCATCTCCCTAACCGCTCTCTGACCGCGCTGTGCAAAGCAACTCCGAGGTTCTGGGCAGCTTCCCCTATTTGACATTTGGATTTTGTCCCCTTGGGAGCCACCCTTCCATCCTTCCACTGACAGCCCACCTGTGTCGGGCAGGGCTCCTGTGCTGCAGGCAGCAGCCTGCTCTCACCTTCCTCCTGCTGATGCAGACACAGCATGTTTATGTCAGCTAAAGCCTTCAGTGCTTTAAAGGAGATATTCATAAGAAAACAGAAACACTTCCCCTGTAAGCATTCAGCAGAGCTCATTTCCAACCACGTCAAAAGATTCCAGTCTCCCAAGCAGTCTGTTGGATTCCTAACAGACACCTTTCCTGGACTACTCTCTCACCTAATTTAAAAACTGATTGTAAAATAGTAAATGCTTTAAACAAAGCTTAAGCAAAAGCAGATGTGAAATAATCTTCTTCCAACATTCAACATGTACCAAACATTTTCTCATCAAATTATTAGTAAGGTTAAAAAAGGCAGCTTGCCACACAGCAAGCACTAAGTGAGAACTCAAGGAATACTGTGCTCCTTCAAGGGACAGAGAAACAGCACAGAGCCCAAATAATCTTCCTACAGTTATTTGGCAAACATGCCTGAGCTGCCAGTTTTATTTGGAGCAATAACATCCATAGAAATTTCTATTACTTTTTAAAGATGACAGCAAAATTTTATCACTGGAGAGCAAAACGTGGTGGTCAGATCATGTACAAATATGTTCTAGTTATTGCAGTAGGGTGAGTGCTGTTCTCCATAAGCCCTGATAACAGGAGAAGGAACTCAGGCACTCCAGGGAAATCTGGTTAGCTGCTGTAAATCCCACTCTGCTGTACTCGCTGTGGGGGGGCCGTGTCAGCTGCAGCAAACAATAAAAAGCACACACAGACTGTACCAGGAAGGCTGGACACAACATGTCAGTTTATTAACCAAAAGTGAAGCCGAACCCCAGAGTGGTTTAACTTTTTAAAACCATATGTTTATATGGCAGATACTTTTTTTTCCCCCACATTAACACTGTACTGCAAGAATCAAATTTTGCAGCTGTTCACCCTTTGAGAATCAAATACTAAGTGTAAAATGAATAAGGGTCCCTCGAATCAATTAAAAACATATTTAACTCAAAAGAACAGACCAATTTTAAGAACTGTCTTATGAAATTCTCCCAAGTGAAAGACTTTCAAAGCACTTGGAGCCTTGAGGTAGCAACTTTATGCAGAATTTAATTCCCCTCCTGCCCCACAAAGCAGAGGAAAATTAGTAACGCATTATTAGCTCCAGCCAGCTAAGCGGAGTTGAGTGTTCTCTTATGAGGTTAGCAACTTTCTCTTCCACCTTGGAACAGCAGTGTAGTGCTGCAGACATCAGGAGAAAATCCACAAGGAAGGCCTCTTGAAATAAAATATCTGGTTTCAAGGAAGTGAAATGATCAGCAATAACTGTAACAACAGAAATTATCTGGAGTGAAAAGAAACACAAAGTGTTTGTATTTTGGCAAGACTAGTTTACAAATACACATCAAGAACAAGAGTCCATTTTCAGCGAATGGAAAAGAAAGATTGGAAGTGACATTCAAAGGGATTTCTTTTTTGCCCTCTGTGCAAAACTGCACATTGTTTTGCTTCTCTTTTTTTTCCTTTTTCTTTTTTTTTTTTTTTTTAGAAGAGAGCACTTTTGCCCTCCCATTTTTAAACATTGTGAAACGTGTGCAGTGACATTAAATAGAAATGGAAATGCCAGGATATTCAGCCACTGAAAGCTCCTCTCACTGCCTTCACAACAATCACAAGCAGGGAATCATGAACTTTGTTTCCCTCCAAGTCTCAAAGCCACTGTCCTTTTTACCCACTTTGCTGCTGAGTTCTTTGATTAAAAACTAGACCTCTCTCCACTGTTAATTTCAGGGTGTCCACAGCAGATTTACTGTTCACTGAGCTGTAACAACAGCAACAAAAACAGCTGTGTGCATTCTCCTCATTTGTGAGGAGCAGTCATAGTGAAAAGGAATAAGCTGAGATGCAATAATGTAGGCAGATCTTTGCAACCAGGCACTTCACTCCCCAGTCACACTATCATTGCTAGCATGTTTTCTGACTTTGCTCACTGCTGGTGCTGTTTGGCTAGCCAGGTACCTGGCAACATCCAGCATCTCACTAAAACTTTGGACACTGCCTTCATGCTTCAGGATCACACCAAACATGATGGTAAAACCAAACTAATCATGCACACTGCAAACTACAACACTGTGCATGGACAAGCCTTCTTACAGACTCACTCTCCTTCAGTTCAAGGATTTGAGCCAGGTTGCCTCTTTACACTACAGAAAAAGGTCACAGATCCTGGGTGCAGAATGGTATTGACCAATTTGCTTTTGCTTCAGAGAGTCTAGAGAAAGATAGAACTTCAAATTCTTGTTCTTGGATCCCAATCTACTGATTTTCTGTTCTCATCCTCTCCTGTGACTTCTAGAAGCCATGAAATCCTCCCTTCCAGACAGAACTAACTTACAACAAATCTAACATCAATCTGGGCATTTTGTTATGTTTCAAAACAATTGCCAATGTTTGCATATGCTGAGGAATAAAATCTTGTCCTGCAGAGAACCAAGGGCTGTAGGAAACAGAATCCATCTGTGAGACAGCTCAAGCTTCTAGGCCCCTCTGAATAGAGGATATTCTGCCTGGGAGCAACAAAGGCCCAGCTGACAATTATTCACAGCAAGTTTCTCTTTAGTTCACATGACAGCTTAGGCAGCACTTAACTCATACTGGTTTGCAGACCAGTTTATGTCTGGGTTGCAGGACAGTCTAAGTTGGCTTCTGTCTTGGAACCCAAAGCATCTTGAACTTTAATATCTAGGATTGTTTTCATTTTTTTGTTTGTTCTTTAAAAAAAAAAATAATCCATAATTAAAAGAAGGATATTGTCTTTGGTGTTAAGCCTCAGAAGCATGAAAACATGAATGAAGTACCTGCTGCTTCTTTGGCTGTAATTTATCACCAAAAAAAAGAAAGAAAGAAAAACTAGCCCAGGAAAACAAAGGAAATTCACTGCTCTAAAATACATGCAGTTAGAACAGCTGCTACACATTACAACCAGGACTTTAATACTATGGAGACACCCCATTCAGTGGTGCCCATTACATATCATTTGCATTTTATAAAAATATTACTCCAGTGACAGTAACTGGACAACAAGTCAAACTCATCAAGTTGCCATCTTACTTATATTGCAGGAACTGGGAGGATCTCATCTATTTAGGGAAAAGAAAGTCACCCAGAAATCAACTTAGAGATGCAGCAGAGTTTTCTGTGCCTTAAAGAAAATATCCACCACTGTAACAACTAGAAGCAGAAATTCAACATTAGCATCCTTCTATTCTTGTTCAAATGGCTGTGAATCAAGCCAGCACATTGTTACACCAGCATCCACAATTAAAATATCATAATCCACATAAAACACCACTAAGTTTTTATCACGAGCTGCAGAAGAACATAAATTCAAAGGGTTACAGATTTACTACCTACAAATTTCATATCTTTATCCTGGGTTCATCAGAAGAGGGGTGGCCAGCAGAGACAAGGAGGTAACTGTCCCTCTCTACTCTGCCTCGTGAGGCCCCATCCAGAGCACTGCATTCAGGTCTGGGGCTCCAAATACAAGAAAGACAGAGAGCTGTTGGAGAGGGTCCAGAGAAGGCCACGAAGATGATCAGGGGGCTGGAGCACCTCCCCTGTAAGGACAGGCTGAAGGAGCTGGGCTTGTTCAGCCTGGAGAAAAGGCGGCTGCGGGGTGACCTCATTGCAGCCTTTCAGTACCTAAAGGGAGCCTACAAACAGGAGGGGAATCAACTCTTTGAAAGGGTTGGTAACTGCAGGATGAGGGGAAATGGTTTTAAGCTGAGGGAGGGGAGATTTAGGTTGGACGTCAGGGGGAAATTCTTTACAGAGAGAGTGGTGAGGTGCTGGAACAGCCACCCAGAGAGCCTGTGGGTGCCCTGTTCTTGGAGGTGTTCAAAGCCAGATTGGATGGGGCCCTGGGCAGCCTGGTCTAGTGTTAAATGTGGAGGTTGTTGGCCCTGCATGTGGCAGGGGGTTGGAGATTCGTGATCCTTGAGGTCCCTTCCAACCCTGGCCATTCTGTGATTCTATATAAATACTTTTTTTCACACCATATAAATGTCCTTCTTATCATCTGATTCATATTTATATAGTGCTTTGATAAAATCTCAGCAGAATTAAGTTCATTAAAGCTGTGGAAACACTCTACTTAGTAAATGCTGCAAATTTAACAGGTATTTTAGATAAACATAATTAGCTTAGTTATCACCTAAACCATAAGATTCCTCAAATACACCAACTGTCTAGTTAGC